ACACCTGGGGGACACACCTGGGACACCTGGGGATACCTGGGGACACCACTGGGGACACCTGGGGACATGAAGGGGCACAGGGACTGTGGGTGTGACTGGGACAGGGACAGTGGGGACAGGGGACGAGGGTGGGGACAGGTGACAAGGACAGTGGGGAGGGGGACAGGGGACAGTGGATGTGACAGGGACAGGGATGAGGGGACAGGGGACAAGGACTGTGGGTGTGACTGATGGGACAAGGGTGGCAGAGGAACAGGGACTGGGTGTGCTGGGGACAGTGACAGAGTAGGGTGGGGACAGGGGGTGGCAGAGGGGACGGGGGGACAGGGGACACTGGGAATGGAGGGACAGGGACAGGGGGACAGTGAGGAGAGGGGATGGAGGAGACAGCAGACAGGGACAGGGGGACAGGGGACAGGGGCACAGCAGGGACAGGGGACAGGGGGGACTGGGGGTGTGACAAGGACAAGGGGGCTGGGCACATCGGGGAGTGGGTGGGGGTGGGCTGGGGCTTGCCAGCCCCAAACTGACACCCCATTTCTGTGTCCCCTGTCCCTGTCCCTGTGTCCCCTGTCCCTGTCCCTGTGTCCCCTGTCCCTGTGTCGCCCTTGTCCCTGTGTCCCCCCCGTCCCTGTGTCCCTGTCCTTGTGTCCCCCTGTCCCTGTGTCCCCCTGTCCCTGTGTCCCTCCTGTCCCTGTCCCTGCCCCTGTGTCCCCCCTGTCCCCAGCGGGTGCTCACGGCCGATTTCTGCGACGGCTGCAAGATCAGCAACGTGGAGGGGATCCAGGAGATGGGGCTGGGGCTGCGAGACGTCAGTTGGGGAGGCCAGGGGTCCCTGGGGGTTCCTGAGGTCACTGGGGGGTCCGGGGTCTCTGGGGGGTCCCTGGGGGTCTGGGGGTCCCTAGGGGGTCCCTGGGGGTCCCTGGGGTCCCCTGTGCCCCTTTCCCTGAGCAAACCCCATGGGGGATCCAGGAGATGGGGTTGGGGTTGAGAGGCTTCAGCTGGGGGTCCCAAGGGGGTCCTGGGGGAATTTGGGGGGCTCTGGGGGGGTCCCAGCACTCAGTGCCCCCCCTCCTGCCTCCCCCAGCCCGAGGGGTTCTGGAGGGGTTTGGGGGAGGGGGCCCTGGGGGGTTCTGGGAGGTCCCAGAGGATTTGGGGTGGGGGGTGTTCCAGGGTGTGTTTGGGGCATCCCGGGGATTTGGGGGTGTCCCAGGGGGTTATTTGGGATCCCAGGGGTTTGGGGGGGCTTGGGGGTCCTTGAGGGTTTGGGGGTGTCCCAGGAGTCCCCAGGGGTTTTGGGGGGGTCCTGGGGGGTTATTTGGGATCCCAGGGGATTTGGGGGTCCTGGAGGGGCTTGGGGGTGTCCCAGGAGTCCCCAGGGATTTGGGGGCATCCCAGGGGTTTGGGGGGATCCCGGGGTCCCTGGGTGTTCAGGGGGTCCCGGAAGGTATTTGGGGTCCCCAGGGGTCCCTGACCTCCGTGCCCCCCCCAGACCGCAGAGAAGCTGATCCAGGTGTTTGCTGAGCAGATTTTCTACACCGGGTTCATCCACGCGGACCCTCACCCCGGGAACGGTACCCCAAAACGGGGGACCCCAGCACGGGGGGACACCCAGGGACTGGGGGACACCCAGGGAGTGGGGGGACACCCAGGATTGGGGGATCCAGGATTGGGGGACACCCAGGGTTGGGGGATCCAGGGATTGGGGGGACATCCAGGGATTGGGGGGACACCAGGGATTGGGGGATCCAGGATTGGGGGACACCCAGGACTGGGGGGACATCCAGGGACTGGGGGGACACCCAGGGATTGGGGGGACACCCAGGGATTGGGGGATCCAGGGATTGGGGGGACACCCAGGATTGGGGGATCCCCAGGGATTGGGGGATCCAGGGGTTGGGGGATCCAGGGATTGGGGGGACACCCAGGGATTGGGGGATCCAGGGATTGGGGGGGACATCCAGGGACTGGGGGATCCCCAGGGATTGGGGGGAACCTGAAGTGGGGGACCCTGAAGTTGGGGGTGATCCTGAAATTGGGGGTGAACTCTAAAATCGGGGGGACCCTAAACTTGGGGGAGGGGGAAATCAGAGGAGCAGCCAAAAAGGGGGAGCCCAAAATGGGGAGCTTGAAACTGAGGAGGAACCCCAAAAGTGTGTGTGGGGGTGTCCCAAAATGGGGAGGGGACCCCAAAATGTGAGACTCCAAAAATGGGGTCATTGTGAAAATTGGGGGTGGGAAGGTGGGGGAGGCGTCTCTAGAGGGGGGTGGGGTTCCCTAACCAAGGGAGGGTCCCCAAAAAATGCAGGGGACCCAAAAGGGGGTCCCCAAGGGGGGATTGACCCAGGAGGAGGGGGAGGTCACAGAGGGGAGGAGGGTCCCCAAAAGGAAGGGGGTTGGTTTCTAAGGGAAGAGGGGGAGCAGAAAGACACGGGGAGGGGGTCCCCAAAGAGGGGGTCCCCAAAAAGGGGGGGTCCCCAAAAAGCTGCCCCCCCTGTGCCCCCCCAGTGCTGGTCCGGCGGGGCCCCGACGGCAAAGCTCAGCTGGTGCTGCTGGACCACGGCCTGTACGAGACCCTCAGCGAGAGGTCAGGGGGCCCCAAACCCGGGGGGGGGACCCCAAAACCCGGGAGGGGGTCCCCAAAACCCCGGGGAACCCCCCTGAGCCCCCCTGTGCCCCCCCAGGGACCGGGTGTCGCTGTGTGGGCTCTGGAGATCGATCGTCCTGCGCGACCACGACGGGATGAGGGACAGGGCGGCCGAGCTGGGGGTGCAGGGTGAGGGGGGACCCCAAAACGGGGGGAAACACCCCAAACTGGGGGGGAAACACCCCAAAACTGGGGGTGCAGGGTGAGGGGGGACCCCAAAATGGGAGGAAACACTCCGAAACTGGGGGAAACACCTCAAAACTGGGGGTGCAGGGTGAGGGACCCCAAAACGGGGGGAAACAACCCAAAACTGGGGGGAGCAGGGTGAGGGGACCCCAAAACTGGGGAACACCCAAAACTGGGGGAAACATCCCAAAACTGGGGGGAACACCCCAAAATGGGGGAAACATCCCAAAACTGGGGGAACACCCCAAAACTGGGGGGCAGGATGAGAGGGAACCCCAAATGAGGGGGAAACACCCTGAAACTGTGGGGGGCAGGGTGAGGGGGACCCCAAAACGGGGGAACACCCCAAAACTGGGGAAACACCTAGAAATGGGGAAACATCCCAAAATGGGAAACACCCTGAAACTGGGGGGGCAGGGTGAGGGGAACCCCAAAATGAGGAACACCCCAAGACTGGGGAAACACCCCAAAATGGGAAACATCCCAAAACTGGGGGAGCAGGGTGAGAGGGGACCCCAAAATGGGGGGGGGAAACCCCAAAAATGGGGGGAAACACCCCAAAACCGGGGGGTGCAGGGGTGAGGGGACCCCAAAATAGGAAGGAAACAGCCCAAAACTGGAACACTGGGGATCCGAGTTGGAGGGGGTATGACACCCATAACCTGGAGAGGTGGGGGAAAAAAACCCCAAACCCACATCACAACGGGGACCCCCAAATCTGTAACCCCGGGGTGGTGGTGTGGGGGGGGGATCCCAAAAACCCCCCTGACACCCCAAACCCCCTCTGGTGCTGCCCCCCCAGACTGGGGTGGGGTGGTGGGGTGGTGGGGTCAGTGTGGAGGGTGGGGATCCCCAAAAACCCCCTGACACCCCAAACCCCCTCTGGTGCTGCCCCCCCAGACCAGGGTGGGGTGGTGGTGTGGTGGGGTCAGCATCGAGGTGGGGGGATCCCCAAAACCCCCTGACACCCCAAACCCCCTCTGGTGCTGCCCCCCAGACTACGTGCTGTTCTCGGAGATGCTGATGCAGCGGCCGCTGGGCCGGGGGTCGCTGCTGGGCCGGGGGCGCGCGCTGAGCGCGGAGGAGCGGGGGTACCTGCAGGCCATGGCGGGGCAGCGCTTCCCCCACATCGTGGCCGTGCTGCGCGCGCTGCCCCGCCCGATGCTGCTCGTCTTCCGCAACATCAACACCGTGCGCAGCGTCCACGCCGCGCTGGGCGCGCCCGCGGACAGATACGGGCTCATGGCGCGCAGGTGAGGGACAGGTGTGGCACCCACCGACAGATACGGGCTCATGGCGCGCAGGTGAGGGACAGGTGTGGCACCCACTGACGCCGATGCGGGCTCATGCGGCACGCAGGTGAGGACAGGTGTGGCACCCACTGACAGTGCAGGGCTCATGGCACGCAGGTAGAGGGACAGGTGTGGCACCCACTGACCGGTGCAGGGCTCATGGCACGCAGGTGAGGGACAGGTGTGGCACCCACTGGCCGGTAGCGGGCTCGCTGGCACGCAGGTGAGGGACAGGTGCGCACCCACTGGCCGAGTACGGGCTCATGGCACGCAGGTGAGGGACAGGTGTGGCACCCACTGACCGGTACGGGCTCATGGCACGCAGGTGAGGGACAGGTGTGGCACCCACTGACCGGTACGGGCTCATGGCACGCAGGTGAGGGACAGGTGTGGCACCCACTGACAGATACGGGCTCATGGCGCGCAGGTGAGGGACAGGTGTGTCACCCACTGACAGATACGGGCTCATGGCGCGCAGGTGAGGGACAGGTGTGGCACCCACTGACAGATACGGGCTCATGGCACGCAGGTGAGGGGCAGGTGTGGCACCCACTGACAGATACGGGCTCATGGCACGCAGGTGAGGGACAGGTGTGGGACAGGTGTGGCACCCACTGACAGATACGGGCTCATGGCGCGCAGGTGAGGGACAGGTGTGTCAGCCACTGACAGATACGGGCTCATGGCACGCAGGTGAGGGACAGGTGTGGCACCCACTGACCGGTACGGGCTCATGGCGCGCAGGTGAGGGACAGGTGTGTCAGCCACTGACAGATACGGGCTCATGGCACGCAGGTGAGGGACAGGTGTGGCACCCACTGACAGATACGGGCTCATGGTGCGCAGGTGAGGGACAGGTGTGGCACCCACTGACAGATACGGGCTCATGGCGCGCAGGTGAGGGCATGGGGGGACAGGTGAGGGACAGGTGTGGGACAGGTGTGGCACCCACTGACAGATACGGGCTCATGGCGCGCAGGTGAGGGCATGGGGGGACAGGTGAGGGACAGGTGTGGGACAGGTGTGGCACCCACTGACAGATACGGGCTCATGGCACGCAGGTGAGGGACAGGTGTGTCACAGGTGTGGCACCCACTGACAGATACGGGCTCATGGCACGCAGGTGAGGGACAGGTGTGTCACAGGTGTGCTCAGGTGTGGCACCCACTGACAGATACGGGCTCATGGCACGCAGGTGAGGGACAGGTGTGGCACCCACTGACAGATATGGGCTCATGGCACGCAGGTGAGGGACAGGTGTGGCACCCACAGACAGATACGGGCTCATGGCACGCAGGTGAGGGGACAGGTGTGCTTAGGTGTCACAGGTGTGTCACCCACCGACAGATACGGGCTCGTGGCACGCAGGTGAGGGACAGATGTGTCACAGGTGTGCTCAGGTGTCACAGGGGTGTCACCCACTGACCACTACGGGCTCATGGCACGCAGGTGAGGGGACAGGTGTGTCACCCGCTGACAGATACGGGCTCATAGCCCGCAGGTGAGGGCATGGGGGGACAGGTGTGTCACAGGGGTGTCACCCGCTGACCGGTACGGACTCATGGCACATAAGTGAGGGACAGGTGTGGCACAGGGACCCGTGCCGAATGCTGTGGACTCATGGCACATAGGTGAGGGACAGGTGTGCTCAGGTGTGTCACAGGTGTGCTCAGGTGTCACAGGGGCACCCACTGACCGATACGGGCTCATGGCGCGCAGGTGAGGGCATGGGGGAACAGGTGTGTCACAGGGGCACCCACTGACCAATATGGACTCATGGCCCGCAGGTGAGGGGATGAGGGGGGACAGGTGTGCTTAGGTGTGTCACAGGGGCACCCACTGACCGCTACGGACTCATGGCACGCAGGTGAGGGGACAGGTGTGTCACAGGTGTGTCACAGGGGCACCCACCGACCGATATGGACTCATGGCCCGCAGGTGAGGGCATGGGTGGGGACAGGTGTGTTACCCACTGACCGATACGGACTCATGGCGTGCAGGTGAGGGACAGGTGTGTCACAGGGGTGTCACAGGTGTGTCAGAGGTGTACTCAGGTGTGTCACCCACTGACCGATACGGCCTCATGGTCCGCAGGTGAGGGCACGGGGAGGGACACAGGTGTGTCACAGGTGTGCCCAAGTGTGCCCCAGGGGTATGGGGTTACACAGGGGGTCCCCAGCAACAGCTGCCACCTCAGGGCTTACAGGTGAATGCTCAGGTGTGCCCAGGTGTGCCCCAGAGGTGCCCAGGTGTGCCCCAGAGCCCGGGGTACAGGGGTAGGGGGGGCACCTGGGGATTTAGGGGGGGGCAGGGGGAGCCCTTGCCAAGCACTCCAGGCTCGAGGCCTGCAGGTGAGTGCCCAGGTGGGCACAGGTGAGAGCAGGTGTAACCCAGGGGAGCCCCAGGTGTGTCCTGGGGGAGGTCTGGGGAGCCACGGGGGGGATCTGGGGGTGCCCCTGCCAGCTGCTACGGGCTCAGGGCCTGCAGGTGAGTTTGGGGGGCCCAGGTGTGCCCTGGGGGAATTTGGGGGGGTGGGGTAAGACTGGGGAGTTGTGGAGCTGTTGGGGGTGCCCAGGTGAGTTTTGGGGGTCAGGGGGTGTCCAGGTGAGCCCCAGGTGAGGATTTTGGAGGAGGTCGGGGGGGTGTGGGTGCCCAGGTGAGCTGTGGGGGTTCAGGGAGTGCCCAGGTGAGCTGTGGGGTTGGGGCTGTTTGGGGGTGTCCAGGTGAGCTGTGAGGGGCTGGGGCTGTTTGGGGGTGCCCAGGTGAGCTGTGGGGGTTGGGGCTGTTTGGGGGTGTCCAGGTGAGCTGTGAGGGGCTGGGGCTGTTTGGGGGTGCCCAGGTGAACTGTGGGGGGCTGTGGGGGTTCAGGGGGTGCCCAGGTGAGCTGTGGGGGCAGGGGCTGTTTGGGGGTGCCCAGGTGAGCCCCAGTGACCCCCTGTCCCCCAGCGCCGTGCGCAGCTGGAGCCGCCTGTGCCGGGGGTCCCGGGGGTCTCTGGGGCAGCGACTTTGGCTGCACTGGGAGAGCCTCAAGTTCGAGGTGGCCCTCAGGTAACGGGGGGCAGGTGAGGGGGAGGGTTTGGGGGGAGGGCAGGTGAGGGGGAGGGGTTTGGGGGGAGGGCAGGTGAGGGGGAGGGTTTGGGGGAGGGCAGGTGAGGGGGAGGGCTTGGGAGGAGGGCAGGTGAGGGGGAGGGTTTGGGGGGCAGTGAGGGGGAGGGTTTGAGGGGGCAGGTGAGGGGGAGGGTTTGGGGGGGCAGGTGAGGGGGAGGGTTTGGGGGTCCCCAGGTGGGAGGATGGGTGGCTGTGGGGTCTCGGGTATGGGGGGCCTGGGTTTGGGGGACCCTCAGGTGTGTGGTGTGGGGAATTGGGGTATGGGGGTGGGAAACCAGGTATGGGGACCCTTGGGTGTGGGAGTGATCCAGGTGTGTGTGGGGACTCCAGGTGTGGGGAGGACTCAGGGTTGGTGGGTGGGGGTGGTGCACCCAGGGTTTGGGGTCTGCAGGTTTTGGGTCCCCGGATATTTGGGTACCTCAGGTGTGTGTCTGAGCCCCCAGGTGTGTGTGTGACCCCAGGTGTTGTGTGACCCCAGGTGTCCCCCTGTCCCCCAGGTGTGTGACCCCCTCCGGTGTGTGTGACCCCCGGTGTGTCCCCCCGTGACCCCCTGTCCCCCAGGTGTGTGTGTGACCCCCCCGGGTGTGTGTGTGACCCCAGGTGTGCCCCCCTGTCCCCCAGGTGTGTGTGACCTCCCAGATGTGTGTGTGACCCCCGGTGTGTGTGACCCCAGGTGTGTGTGTGACCCCCCTCCGGTGTGTGACCCCCAGGTGTGTGTGACCCCCCAGGTGTGTCCCCCCGTGACCCCCTGTCCCCCTAGGTGTGTGTGACCCCCCAGGTGTGTGTGACCCCCAGATGTGTGTGTGACCTCCCAGGTGTTGTCCCCCATGACCCCCTGTCCCCTAGGTGTCTGTGACCCCCCGGTGTGTCCGTCCCCCCAGGTTCGAGTCCCTTCGGGCCCGGTTGGCGGCGGCGGCGCTGCGGCTGCTGAGCCGCTGGGGGGCGCTGCCGCACGGGGAGCAGCTGCAGAGACTCCTCCAGGCCTGAGGGGGGCGCTGCAGGGACCCGAACAGCCCCAGAAACGCCCCAAAAACGACACCAAAAACTCACCCCAAAAACTCACCCCGCACGGAAACACCGAGGGGATCGGCTGCAGAGAGTCCTCAGGGCCCGGGGGTGTGCCAGAGACACCAGAACCGCCCCAAATTACCCCAAAAACTCATTCATAAACCCTGAGCGGAGCAGCTGCAGAGAGTCCTCCGGGCCTGAGAGGGCGCCACAGGAACCCAAAACAGCCCCAAATTACCCCAAAAACTCATCCCAAAATAAACTCCAAACATTAACACCGAGGGGAGCAGCTGCAGAGAGTCCTCCGGGCCTGGGGGGGTGCCCAAGACACCCAAAACTGCCCGGAATTGCCCCAAAACCAGTGGCCCCTGCTCCAGGGGGGTGCCAAAAACAACCCTAAACACCCCCAAAACCGACCAAACGCCCAGCAAAGCCTTTCTCAAACCCCCAGCTCCTCCCCCCAGACTGGCTGTGAGCCCCCAATAAACCCCCCGTGACCCACGGGCACCCCAGGAGCAGCTGTGGGGGTTGGTGTTTTATTACAAACGTGGAGTTTTTTGGGGGGTTGGTGTTTTATTACAAACGTGGAGTTTTTTGGGGGGTTGGTGTTTTATTACAAACGTGGAGTTTTGGGGGGAAGGGGGGTGGGATTTGGGGGTCCCGAAGCCCCTCAGAAGTGGGCCGTGACTCGGTCGATCTCCAGGAGGTCGTCCAGGATCTGTGGGATCGGTGGGGTCAGGGACCGTCACCTGTGCCAGCCCTGCCCTTGTCCCAAACCCGTCCCCCATGGGGCCGCCGTGTCCGGGCCCCTCCCCGTTTTCCTGGCCAGTCCCCCGTGTCCCACCCCTGTCCCTGTCCCAGTCCCATGTACGATGTCCGGGGTGGTCCCCATTTTCCTGGTCAGCCCCTCCATGTCCCAGCCCTGTCCCTGTCCCAGCCCTGTCCCTGTCCCAGCCCCACGTACGATGTCCGGGGTGGTCCCTATTTTATTGGCCAGCCCCCCGTGTCCCAGCCCTGTCCCTGTCCCTGTCCCAGCCCCACGTACGATGTCTGGGGTGGTCCCTATCTTCTTGGCCAGCTCCCCCCGTGTCCCAGCCCTGTCCCTGTCCCACCCCTGTCCCTGTCCCTATCCCAGCCCTGTCCCTGTCCCAGTCCCAGCCCCACATACGATGTCCGGGGTGGTCCCTATCTTCTTGGCCAGCTCCCCCCTCTCCATGGCGCTCAGGTACAGGAACCTGCCCAGCAGCTCCCCGTCCAGCACGTTCCTGACCGCGTTCTGGAGCAGCCGCCGCTCCGCCTGCAGCAGCCTGGGGGGGACAGGGACGTGGCAGGGACAGAGGGGACACAGGGACAGGGGGACATGGCAGGGACAGTGGGGACAGGGGGACGTGGCAGGGACAGGGGGGACATGGCAGGGACAGCGGGGACAGGGGGAGTTCTGCAGCAATCCCTGCTCCGCCTGCAGCAGCCTGGGGGGCACAGGGACGTGGCAGGGACAGAGGGGACACAGCAGGGACAGCGGGGACAGGGGGACACGGCAGGGACAGGGGGACACAGCAGGGACAGTGGGGACATGGCAGGGACAGGGAGACACAGGGACAGGGGGACATGGCAGGGACGGGGAGTTCTGCAGCAACCCCTGCTCTGCCTGCAGAAGCCTGAAGGTCCTGGGGTTGAGCCTGGCCAGGTGGGGCAGGGCAGAGCTCAGGGCAGGGCTGGGGGACAGGTGTTGGTGCTACAGGACAGGTGAGAGGGGGCTGTGGGACAGGTGAAGGGGCTGTGGGACAGGTGTTGGTGCTACAGGACAGGTGAGGGGGCTGTGGGACAGGTGTTGGTGCTACAGGACAGGTGAGGGGGCTGTGGGACAGGTGAGGGGGCTGTGGGGCAGGTGAGTTACCTGAAGGCTCTGGGGTTGAGCCTGGCCAGGTGGGGCAGGGCTGGGGGCTGTGGGACAGGTGTTGGTGCTATAGGACAGGTGAGGGGGCTGTGGGACAGATGTTGGTGCTGTGGGACAGGTGAGGGGGCTGTGGGACAGGTGTGGGGGCTGTGGGACAGGTGTTGGTGCTGCGGGACAGGTGAGTTACCTGAAGGCCCTGGGGTTGAGCCCGGCCAGGTGGGGCAGGGCGGAGCTCAGGGCGTTCTGCAGCATCAGCAGCCGCCGGTAGGTTTTCTCCTGCATGGGCAGCAGCAGCCCCAGCCCCCCGTCCAGCGTCGCTGGGGGCACAAAACGGGGGTCACAGGGGGCTTGGGGTCCCCACCCAGCATCGCTGGGGGCACAAGGGGTCCCCAGGAAATC